ATCGACAAAAAATTGATACTTATTTAAAACAAAAAATATAAAATAAATTCCAAAAACTTATTTAAAATATCAAATAAGAAATAGATCAGAAAAAGTTATTTAAAATAATAAATACTAACTAACGTTTTAATTTTTTCTTTATTTAAAATATACATTTAAAAAAAATTTATTTGAAATAAGACCGAATTCTGACAACTATAAACACTGTATTGATAGAATGGATTTTCTTGAAACAGCAGAGTATGGTGGAAATGATAACGTAGTTAAAAAATTGGTTCTAACATTAGAATTCTATCTATAAGTCAGTTTACCGCAAATACAAATGTGCATGAAAGTATCTTCAATACATGAGTGTAATTAATTTTCCATGTAAAAATAACAAATTATACTGCATACTGCACATATGAATTTAAACGTGTGTTTGTGTAATAGAGTATTATTTTTAAATAACACATTATATACTGAAGTCATTTTTTACACACTTGGATTTGCAGTTTTTTTCGTGGCAAATTATGCGTTGTCGATCATTATACTCTTCTGCTTTGGTGTCTCACATTTCACTGTCTATTTATTTGTTTGAGTTGTAAATAGATCATTGTAGTTCCCAAGATACAATTTAAAAACTCACGACGCTACACGACGATATGCTTCTAGGGTTAAGATTGACAAAGTTTTTATTAAAAGATTTATGATCCTTTAATGTTTATTCTTCACATTTGCCATAGTTTATTTTCTGAGTTGTTAATTGTATAAACAAAATTGTATATTTTATATTGGTTTGTATAAAAAATAGCTGGCTACAACCCAGGTAACAAGCTACGTCATTTTGTCGTCATTTTGACGTCAGCTTGCTACCAGGAAAGATTGGTATTTACATAAAAACTTCATCAATAATTGATCGTAAGATGTAGAAAATAAATGCATGTCAATTTTTTCAATTCTTTAAGTCTTAAGATATTATGAACTAATTACAGAATTGCATTAGCATTTTAAGGCATTATTTAAGATGGTTCTAAATAAGAGCATACTATAAATACCCGTAGAGTCACTTTTAGTTGATAAATCGTGTCATTAAATAATTTTTTTTTCATTTCTCGAAGTTGAGACCACGAGCACTTTATATTCCTCGAAAAATAATTTGTGTAAAATTTTAAGTTGATCGAGAGCAGAGAGGTCATTCGGAAGTATACACAATTAATAAAAAAAAAATAGCTTATTTAAAAAATTGACAAATAAAAGTATTAAGAGGAGCGGCAAAATTCTCTTTGCAAAAGGATGCTTTATTATATGACGTGTTCGCAGCGACATTGTGTTATGGTACCAGTATAATACTATTAACGTAAGTGACATTTAATTAAAACCGCAATTATGCTACTATGGATGCGTTCCATTTGACGCTCATAGCACTTATCATTTATCCTTTTTTAACACTTGATAAATAACAAGGATATAAAATAATACTTTAGAGACTTTCACGAATATTTTCTTCAGAGATGCCAAAGGGTTTGCGGATTATAACTAAATCGTGATCTGAATATTGCAATTTTTAATTCCATGTCCGGAAACTTTTTGACTATGCTACTATTTTGATAAGTATTCATATTTATATAATCTTATTTAATAAAACTTATCGGACGATTTAAATTTCTAATTACCATGTTCAAAAATAAAGAATTACTAAGGTCGTACAATTATCGATAAATAAATAATTGTACTAAATATCGCAATTGCTAAACGCATTGATCACCTGTTTGTCACGAAATAAATAAGGGGTCGTAATTTATCGCAGCATGCTTGAAATTAAAGGCAAATATTTGGGTACGATTTGCCAATATGTCGCGTCTAGTTTGATGATCTGTCAAATATTGATGCTTATCGCAGATTGGCGAATATCAATGATGTAATATCATTTGTTGATGATCGTAATTCGACACCGCGATATCCTTCGAAAACAATAAGGTGAAAGGAATTAATAATGAAAATATCTCTACTTAAAATAATTAAATAATAAAGGTATAGTAAAAAGATCATTCTTATTTTTTATGCTTTCATTTGTAAAATTTTTCTGAATATCTCTGTTGGAATGTGTTTATTGCTACTATTATAACATAAAAAGGAAGCTGTATCGTGTTTTTTTTAAAGAATCGCGAAAAAAGAAACTTTTTGACAATATTAAGAAAGGTGTAATTAAAACAATAAATTTCTAAGAACAGAACAAGAAAATTAATGGTAGATCCATCAATTTTCTAGCTATCGTGTTATTGATGCATATCTGCATTAAGAATAATAATTTAAGCAAGTGACAGAAAACATTTATTTATTGATATATGTATTTCATTAATAAATATTTTAATTGAGTATGATTTTTAATAAGTGATAACTTTGCATTATAATCGAATCATTCGATAGCATTATTTGTGATATATGATTTAATTCTTTTAATACAGAAAGTGTGATGAAAACAGAATATAGTTACATATATAAGTTTAGATTCTGTTTATTGACAAAATGAGTGTTTGTGACAACTACTGACATTTGTCTGATATATAAACTCTTTAGGATTTATACACATTTTCGTCTAATGGATAGGAACATAAATCTTTGCTATAAAAGAAGAAACCTAATGGTGATCCACGAAAAGGCGGTTGGTCGTGAAAAATGTTCTCGACATTATTGGAGCGGACATGATAGTCGTGATAGAAAACAACATTCCATTCAGACGAAGAATACTTGGATATACGACCAGGAATTCGTGCGATTGATTCGCGAAAGCGTTTTTCAATATTCTCTATAATACGGTCGGAAATATTGCGGTTTTCGCATCCATCTCCGTCTTTCCTTTCGTTGTGTTTACAGCACGTTGAAATAAGGAAAGTAGTGAGGTAACATTCACTCTCTTACATTCTTCCAAATAAAAATATGTCTTAACATTTCTATTAAAGAAAAATTTATTACAGAATAGATAAAATTTTATGTAAAAATAACAAACAAATCATCTATACAATATGTCTATTTTCTTTATAATACAGTATATTTTCCCATATAATGTATTTCCTATATTCTTGATTATTTTATTTTTCCTATCTTCAACCTTTTAATTAATAATACAATATTTTTTAAATATTAGCAAAATTGTTTACTATGAATCACAATAGAGTTCACATTGTTGCATTTCAGTTCCCTTAAAAAGAATGTTGCGAATATAAGAGTTAAGAGAATGTTAAATACTCTCTTTAGCGTTCGCATATTTTAAAAGCCAGCTAGTCCGCTTTCAGTCGCATTATTTATTTAACTCGAAAGATATCCTGAAGAAATGAAAAAAATCTCTAGCATCTAGCTTGTGTATATTAATTATGTATTTATCTCGAAATACAACGCGAGATCTTGTTTGTTACAATGCCTCGTTTTGTCATAATTAATACTTAAACAATGATTCAAAGTTTTAGAGAAACATTTCTCAGCTCTGAATTTGCTTTGTGCGTCACGAGTGTTTCAAACAGAATGAATATTACGGTAAACCTCTCTCTCTCTCTCTTTGGAAGATTTTATTCTACCTGTTCTCTTCATCGCAATAACTCTTAAAGCTTCACTTATCAGACTTTCCCACCACTTGTATTTGTACTACGCCACGTGCTTACAAGATCTGGCTACTAACCGCGGCGTGTTAAACATCGACGCGAGTGAATAACGATAGGCGTAATTGCACTTAAGAAACAGCTTGATTAAAACTTCGCCGGCGACGATGCCTGCGGGATAAATCGCTGTGAAGCCGCTCATTACGTAGCGTAATTGGGTCGTGCGCTCGTGCAATTTGCGGAATCCGTTGTGCTATCCGTTTTCCTCCTTGCTGCTTTCAAGGTGGAAACTCCTGCCGCGATATCTCCCGCAAGCTCACCAGGCGTCGCGTTTGACGACGACGCGACGTCGCGTAAATGCTCTCTCGCACACACCGACGTGCGAACAGATTATAACGGATAGTCGCCACCGAGATACTTAGCTGCACGGCGTCATTACGGCGCACTCATTTTTCAAGCTTGTTTGCGAGATATCGTTATGGACTACGGCGAGATATCCCTTTCGGAGGACGAAGTTGAATTAACCGCGATACACACCGGATGCTCGCTCGGGCGCGATCTTCCCGTCTGTCGGTATTTAAGAGAGTCGTATTCGCGCGCTGGACATTAATTCTCCGATATGGAGCTGAAAGAATGCCGCCGCACCTGAACCGAGGGCAGAGTAGTTCGCTAACGGCGAAAGATAATGAAAAAAATGGAATGACTTCTTGCAGGAGAAAACGATGCCCTGCAGGATTCCGTTGCCTTTCACGACAAAGCGGTAAAGCGTCGAGCAATTCACAGACATCTCTTGGTAAGAATGCACAAGGGATACCTTCCGTAATTACAGAAGAATAGATGAGAAGAAAAAGTTTAATGACAAAATTAAAAAGTTGTTTTCAAGTGTTTTAAAAATTCTAATGAAAGCGATATTAGTAATTAACACATTATTGACCAGCTTATTATCCAGCTTATTATTGACCAGCTTTGTTATCTTCTAGTTATTGATCAGTAATGAGTACACTCTTGTTTAGTGAGGTATAATTGAAATCATCACACTAAGTTGTTGAATTTAATCCTAATATTGAGTGACAGTATTTAATTGATACATAAATTTTACGTCCGAGAAAATAGACTACTCTTAATAAATGTGATTTTTATATGTTATACTTTTAATGATAAAATGTTTATAATCTAGACCATTATAAACACAAATAATATTATTAGATAACTTAACAGGAAAACAAAAAAATAAAAAAAACATTATCAAATTCAATATTTAAGTAAGTATCAAAATATAATAATAGGATTCTTAATATTAAACAGTAATAAGTAGATAAGAAATTAATACGCAAATCTAAGTACAAAATTTAATGCTATTAACTTTGTAACTTAGAAATTTGTAAATTGTATGTAATGCAAATTTTATAACATGAAATTTCGTACTTATATTTATGCATCAATTTTGACGCTCGACTCTTATATACCTTTATCAATTCTACTTGTTATTGTGAAATGAATATGTGGTCCAATATTACAAAATTGTTTAACAATTGAAATCACTTATCACGCTCTGTTATAATATTGGCCACCATAAAATCCAAACTGACATACATATAACAAAATAAAGTTTAAAAAGTTTGTTCCTGTTTTGCTAGAAGACACTAGAGTGATGCTCAAATAGACTTTAGCATATCGGTTTATTGTTCACTTTTTACCGTAGTTTATGTATTTTCTGAGTTTTAAATTAAAAAGAAAATTGTATATTTTATATTGGTTTGTATAAAAAATAGTTACAAGATTGGTTTTTACATCAAAAATTCCATTTATTGAATAATTAATGTCTTAATTGTCCCATCAATAACTGATCAATTAAGATATAGAAAATGAATATATGTCAATCTTCTTAATTTTTTAGGAGATTGAAATGATCTTGCTTTAAAGCCATTATACGTACAAAACCGTTTCCGGATACTTGCGGCGTGTAAAGAACTTGGCAAAGCTAATTGTCAAAGAACTACGACGCGATTAGTGCTATTATAATTACCGCAAAACCATAACCGCGTCATGAGTAACGTCGTAACGAAGATTTAGATTGCGTATAAGGAACGTGGAAGACGTTAATATATATATATATATGTCATGTTACAACGTCGGTGCAATAACATGCGCGGTAAACCCCGGACTTGTGATATTACACGAATAACGTTTATTCCGCATCCTCGCGAGAATGTGTTGTCTTTTGCGCCGCTCGTTACCCTGCGATCGTTCGTTATTTCTTCTCGGTGAACCCGCATTTGCAGTCCCGAACTCGCGCGTGAATATTTTCGTTTTTCCCGGACTAAACGCGCGAAGATGGAACGCAGCGAGAAAGATTGAAATATATGTACTACTGTATGTGTGTGTGATGTTTCTATTTCATCCATGTCCACATTTTGCCCGAAACGCAAAAAGTATCATGGCGAAATTGATTGTTGTAAGATGACATCTTATAAAAATTCAAGACCATAATTTTTTTATTAAAAAATTATTTTAATTTTTTTATTGCATGTAGTCTGCATGAAATAGACAAATATTTATCTTTCAATCTTTTCTTTTATTTGCCAGTTAGTGTCTAAAAAATTGTATTGAATATTCTGTAGATCCGACTGACCCTCGACTGGCTCGTAATGTACGTTATGGCATATAAGCTTCTTTATCGTGGAATGCGCAATTATTTTTTAATGCTTATTATTAAATATTCACGTGTCCACGGCATGTATTAACACAAAATATCGGAGAGTTTATACCATTACACAACTGTCCTTGGCATTTGCGAACGCCTGCCGAAAAAAACTGGCATTATTATTATATAATACACTTTCAAACGATATGATTTTACGCGAGGAATCATTGAATGCATTTATGCCTGCGTGTAAAACACTATCATTATCCTTATGTAAAATCGTTATCAAAAGCACAATTAAATTTCCTTAATCCCATCTTTTTATATCCCAGTGTATTTAATTTAATTTTATTTATTTATGTATTCAAAGAATTTAAAGTACGAAAAAAATGAACAAATAGTAAGGCTGCTGGTACTAATTGTAAAAACTATTGGAACAGTTGAAATCGTAGCCTGACTGGCAAAGTATGACAGAAAAATATGTAATACACGACTAAAACTTATTTATAGATTGTTAAAGGACAGAATAAGACGATATAATATGCATAACTTATAAGATTATAAAAAAAATATTTGATGCAACTGACAATGGTTTGATGATACAAAATTATCTGCCGCATGGCGAAAGAAAGATAAAAAGTACCGAATATTTGTTTGGAATTCTCATTGAATGGCTAAGAACGAAAACTCTTTTATACTTATTTTGCGAATTAAATGGAACTTATTTCACACATTCGAGCACCAAAAGTCGATTATCTAATGTCGTAACCTAATGGTAATAGTTTCCCCGATTGAAACGTTGGCTTTGTAGTGTGAATCTACTGCGAATCGGCAAACAAGTCCAATTCACGATTAACGCCAACATTCCGCGGCAGACAGTTGGAAATTGCTCTAGCTTCACGAAGTTGTATGCATATTTCGCTATTACAGAGATCCGCGCTATTACTTCTCCATGCTCCATTTCATCCTGTCCTTGTCTTGTGTGTGAGCTCTCTTTGAGGGTTGTGGAAATTGTTCGCACGGTAGATCAACGGGGAAGCAGCGTGGTACGGCTCACGAAAGAAACAGACATGAAATCTGACCCGCAACCGTGCTCCAAAACTTTCGTGTAATTCGCGCTAGTTCGACGCAAACGGCACCTACTCGAGACTCTCGCGCGAAACTTAAGGGAAAACTATGCGGCGGATGGAATGAAAAGGAGGAGTACTGCCAAAGCAGGGCAAACAAGGAAAGGTGCATGAGTAAAGATACGACGAAAGCGTTAAAGAAGGTCGGCGTTTAGGAAGGAGCGAGATGGCTCGCGTGTTAAACTATGCGCATAAGGCGATAAATTATTTTAAGCTGAGGGAAAAACGGAGATCACCTGCACTTTCCATTTCTTACTATTAAAATCAATTTTAACAAACTTTATTGACGAAGTAAATCAAGGTCAGCACAAATAGACATGTTTAACCTGAGAATAATGACATTAAAACTAATTATAAAATGTATAAAGAATGTTTTTAGAATATGACATTTCTAAAATCCCTTAGTAAAGCAAAGAACTTTTAAACGATTCTCATTATCAGAAATACACATACGATTTCTGATAACGTGCAAGAAAAAGTTTAATTCAACAATATTTCTGCCATCATGGCAACATGGCGATAATAATTGCTAGCAAATGGATTTCACTATATATGCCTTGTCCACAACATTACTTTAAGAGGCTGTGAGCCATAGAGTCTTAAAAAATTGACTAATCACAGTTGAATATGAGAAAATTAATCGACTGTGATTAGTCGATTTCTTACAACTTACGGCTTACGGTCTCTTAAAGCAAAGTAATAGTTTGTTTTTGCACAAAATGTTACCTGGATTACAATTTAGTTTTTATATAAAAATTTCTTATTTAATAGCATGCATGCAACTCGATCAAAAAGAATCATTGTACAAGAAATATTTGATCTTGCCATGGCAAACAAATGGAGAATCTCATAGTCTGTCCGTGGTTGGCATTGCCAAGTAGGAAATGCGAAACTATTGCGTTCCATCTACGAGTAACTGGATCTCTTGTTTCCGCCGAGTGGAGGAAGGCAGCGTTGGTCTGGCACAGGGAACACAGGAATGTGCCCCCTACACCAGGTCGTCATAAAACGCTTCTCAACACGAGCAAGCCCTTTATTGTGGTAGCAACACGTGGACAAAGAACAGTGATATCTTTACAGTCTTTTGAGCACGTACCACATATTGGAATCGTAAACGCTTGATATTTTCTTAATGTACATTTTCTTAATATACGTGTGCGTAAAGCAACTTCACCTCTGTGAAGCAACTTACGCCCTTACGCGTAAGTACCGTCTCGTCATCAATCGGCATGCATACAACTCGCATACCGATTGCACCAAGGCCTTTGCATTTAATGTGCCTTGTGTATTACAATGTTATTCGCCACGATAATATCGTGGCACGATAATATCGAAGCAACGCTTTCTATCGTGAAGGTAATCTTCGACACTATGGAGCGATTCGTGTGCGAAGTACGATTATTTTCAATGACTACGTCGAGGCATTGATGATGTCGGAAAATGAAACCGTTAGTACACACGATTAGATCATTTGTGTGCTGCGTATTTTTTTTCTTTGAAATACTATAGGAGCATCTCTCTTTAGATTCAAATGCACCAACGTTACTTTGACTTTAAGCAAATCTTAAAACTCTCACTTTTTCTCTTTAAAGCCGAAAGAGAGGGAGAGATAGAGTTTTAAACTTCGTCTGAAGTTAAAGTTGATGCAACCGAACCTTAGAAAAATTTAATATTCTATGTACACCCTAAAAAATATGAGTATGTATTTAATACCATTAACATTAACATCTCAGCCAGAAATGATTGGTCGATCAGTATCGAATCGATGTAATTATTTCTGGCTGGGATAATGTGGATTTAAAATTCCTTGTTTTTATATCACTATGCTTTGCCTATGTCTAGCATACATGAGATTAAAGCAACAACTACAATACTAGACTTGAACTTTCTAGGGCGTAGATAAGACAGCTGCGGGTTGATGAACTTCTTCTCTTCTGAAGAAGGGCGGGGCTCAATTAATCCGCAACTGAGCATTGAAGAGAAACATTGAATTATGTTTAATTGTTAATTGGTGGATTTCCAAGGAGATCAGCTCCCCTCCCCACCAAGCTTATTATTATTACTATATCAACATCAACATGGTGAGAATTATATAAACACTGCACGTGGTATTAAATCCACTCTTATTTTTTAGATTGTATTAAAATAGTTACTGATTAATTACTTATTTTAAATATTAAAAGTATTAACAACAATGCTTTACATATTCATAATAAATAATCATTAAACAATTTAATACTTACAATATTAAATTTTTTTTTAAATTGGCTGATAACTAATGATCTCTATCCTTTCTCTTAACCAAATTTGGCGTCTCTACAGTGGACTAGTTTGATGCGTTACTAGTCTATTTGTGCACATTCTTTGACGAAAGCAGCCGATTTTAATAAATGACAACCATTCGTATACGCTCAATATAATGGCCGGAATATCATCGTGTGTACTAAGGGTTAAGATCATTACACACTGAAAGAAAAAATTGACTGCTGCAGCAAATTGGATGGTAAAATGTGGCGTAGCATTTTTAATTGACAGCAACAGCCAATTTTTGGTTGCTGCAACTAATTTTTTGTTGTGTTAGCCTATCCACAATATCAGTATAAGATTTCGATTGACTAATGCAACCAAAAATTGGCTACTCCAGCCAATTAAGAATGCCATATTTTA